GCGAGTCAGGAAAACCAAAGGGCAAGAGTAAGGAAAAAGACCACGAGTCGGGAAAATACAATGCGCGAGTCAAGAAAACGCCCGCGAGTTCGGAAAAAGACCCACGAGTCACGACAAAAAAACAGAGCACGAGTCAGGAAAAACTTACGCGTTCGGAGAAAAGCAAGTACAGACAACTGCTAAAATCACTTTCCGCCTTGCGAGAAGTAAAGAAAAGGCAGCTGACAGAGGGAAGCCAGGTGCACACATACGTTAAAACCACCTCCTTTTCACCTAGCGATGAGTAGAATGACATGACAGAAGGAAAGCCAGGAACAGACACATGTTAAAACCACCCCTTTTTCAGTTGCGAAAAGTAGGAAGGCATGACAGCTGAGAAGAAGAATGCCAGGTACGCGCATACGTAAAAACCCCTTCATTTTGCAAGAGATAAACAGAAAACACACTTGAGAGAGGGAAGAAAAGTACAGACGTATGTGAAACCCGCCTTTTTCATTTTGCGATAAGTGGGAAGACATATGTTAAAACCGCCCCCTTTTCACCTTGCCAGAAGTAGAAAGACATGACATAGAAAGCCAGGTACAGACAGAGGTCCAAATCACCTCCTTCTCGCATTGCGAGAAGAAGAAGGACATGACAGTGGGAAAACCAGGTTCAGACATGTGTTACAACCACCCATTTCACATTACGATACGTATAAGGACATGACAGAGGGGAATCTAGGTACAGACATATGTTTAAAATACCCACGTTTTACCTTGCGATTGGTAGAAAAACACGACAGAGGCAAAGCCAGCTAGGCACAGACATATGTAAAACCATCTCTTTTTTTCACTTTCGATAGGGAAAACCAGGTACAGACATGTGTTACTACCACCCTTTGCACCTTGCGATAAGTAGGAAGACATGACTGCTGAGAGGGAGAAAGCCTGGTAAGCACATTAGTTAAGCGCCGGTTCATCTTGCGAAAGATATAAAGAACTGTTCACTTTGCAATGAGTAGGAAGACATGCCACAGGCAAAGCCGGGGGTACAGGCATGTGTTGAAACCACCCTTTTTTCACCTTTTGATAAGTAGGAAGACATGACAAGGGGAAAGCCAGGTACACACATATGTGAAAAACATCCCATTTTCACCTTGTGATAAGTGGAAGGACATCCGTAAAAACCACCCCCTTGTTTGCCTTGCGATAAATAGAAGGACATGACATAAGACCGCCCCCTTGTTCGCCTTGCGATAAGTAGAAGGACATGACATAAGGATGTTAGGCACAGGCATATGGTAAAACCAACCCTTTTTCAGCTTGCGGTAAGTAGGAAGACATGACGCAGGAAATGCCAGGTACGGACATAGGTTAAATCCGCCCCTTGTTCACCTTGCTAAGTAGGAAGACATGATACAGGGAAAGCCATGTACGGACATATGTTAAAACCGCCCCCTTTCTCACCTTGCGATCAGTAGAAAGACATGACATAGGAAAACCAGGTACAAACATATGACTTGCAAGAAGTAGAAGGACATGACAGGGAAAGCTAAGTACAAACATATGTTGCACACCACCCCCTTTTCACCATGCAGTAAGTAGAAAGACATGATTGAGGGCGAGCCAGGTACAGGCATACCCCTTTTTTTCACTTTGCAAAAGTAGGAAGACATAACAGCAGGAGGAAGAAGGCCAGGTACGCACATATGTCAAAATTTCCCCTTCAGCTTGCTAGGAATGCTAATAAACAACAGTTGAGAAAGGGAAGTCTGGTACGGACATGTGCTAAAATCACCTTTTCACGTTGCGACAAGTAGGAAGACATGACACAGGCAAAGCCAGGTGCAGACATTAATTTAGGCGAATATCCAAGAATCCAGAAGGTCAGCTGCCTGACCGCCTTTCCTTTTCCCGTGTTCTTGGTTCCCGAAACACGCCTTCGTTTTTTCCCGATTCGCGCCTTCTCTTCTCCCCGACTCACGCCTTCCTTTTTCCCGACTCACGCCTCCCCTTTTCCCGACTCACGTCTTCCCCTTTTCCTGACTCACGCCTATTTTTCCTGACTCACGCCTTTTCTTTTCCCGACTCACGCCTGAACCATAGGGCCGTTTCAGCGCTTGGAAAGCGAGCGTCTTCCTTGCGAGGTTTAGTCGTTCCTTGCTTCGTTCTGGATTTCGGTGCCTGCGCTGGCTTTGGGGAGCACGCCTGATGGCTCGTCGTTCTTCGAGTGGAGGCCCTCTCTGACGTCAGATCCAGGAACAAGGTGTACTGAGGTCTGTGGACCCCGATTCGAAATCTGAGGCAGAGGTCCTTGAGGACCCATGCCAGGCTGTACAGATTGGTTTGGAGTTGCGAGGAGTAGTGAAGGTTTTGGCTGTAGAAGATTGCGGTGATACAGCTGCTCGGAGCCCACCCTTTTTTTGAGAAGGATAGGGAATTGTCTGATCTGGGTGGTGCTCACACTGCTCTTTTGTGCAATCATCACAGCCAGCTATACATGATGTCTTGTCAAAGTCGGAAATGCAGTGTTGTTTCTTGCTATGGCGCGGTGCGTGGAGCACATCGGGGCGCGCCTCTTTGCAGGAAACACCTTGCCGAGACCGCCCGGAGCTTAAGCCCCGCAAGTACCGGACTTAGAACCCCTCGGGCTCAAAGTAAAAATCCCCCTGAACTGGCCTCTCTTATTAGGACTGCTCAACCAAAAGGGGACCCCCGTCTGGTGCGTTTCGAGACGTCTTCTGATGGATCAGGGGTTCGTGTTCCAAGAGCATAGGATGACCAGAGCATCCATGCCCAAACCATAATTCCGTTCGTGTTCCTGAACTTGAATGGGCACTCTTGCCGAAGTGCCAGCACCGTTTTCTAAAAAGCCCCGCCATCTCAGGGGTTTTGGCCGCTTCAGATTCTGTGCGAAGCTTTCACATGTGCGGCAAACCCAGGTTTTAAGCATTTTCCTAGTTCCTGCGGCAAGATACCGTGAAAAAACGCAGAGCCTACGAGCCCGCGTGCTACCATGTTTTTGCAGAATTTTCTGTCCAACCAAAGTTTCGTGATGGTGACTATGGCCCGAGTTTCCGGACCAACAATCAAGTTTGGGGAACGGCAATCCCTGATACGTTTTTAGGAATGACCGAGGGGAAGCCACCGCACGGGGTGGATGCCTCGAACAGAACGTTGTAGGGATATCAAACAACTTTTAAGGCCAACCTTCCCCTTACACGGCATTTACTTGGGATGTTTGTCGGTCCAGGGAATCTCATCAACCGTTGATGCCCTTGATCGTGCGCTTGGTCTTCTCGGACATGAGCAACGTGCCTTGGCCTGATAGAGAATATGGCACGTTTGGTGCACACTTGACAGCCAGCGTTTTTGAGGCAGGGGTTACCAAAGCACAGCTATGCTACAGATGGAGGAGAATGGTGCTCCCATTGCAAAAGCCTCAGAGATGCAGAGGCGTGAAGTGCGGTTTAGCTGTGGGCAAGTGACCATTGACAGGTGGCAGCCTTGTCAGCAATTGTGGAGGAATTCTGCAAACTCTTTGGGGTGTCATAAAATGTAGCCTTTGCCCAGCGCCTGCAACTGCGCAGGCTTCTGGAGTGAGCGTGGCAGATCAGCATCAGCTGCAGTCAATGCTGCAGCGTCCAAGTCTCAACTGAACCCTGCATTGTGTTTAGTTTTGTCAATGCTTCATAATGCTTAGCGGGGGCATTCTGGAAAGGATTTCTCAGATGCCAGAGACAATGCAAGCCTGGGCTGGGAGATGGGGAGCCAGTTCGTGGCCTGCAATGTCCATCAACAGACAAACGCAAACAAGAGCAGATGAGAGTGTCTCATGCAGCTCAGCCAGCGTAAAGAGGAGTTTCCATATGTCTCCTCTGGGGACCTTCTGGGGAGAGAGCGAGAACGTAGCAGTGCACGTTCCCCGAAAGTTGCCAGTGCAGTAGGAAGAGGCCATGCGAGGTGGCCAACCGCACGAATACTTAGAATACTTTCAGAATCAGCATGAGGCTATCGTACGGAGACATCGGAAGAGGCCTGCTGAGCAAAGTGGAGCACTGAGTGGTCGTGACGGGTTTCCAGGATGCTGAAGATGCTGCGTTGGATGCAGCATTTGGGTTGGAGCCTGCAGCGGCTGCAGCTGCTAAGTGTGCTCATGCGTGTGTTGAGATCGCTGCGACGCACACTTTCGCCTTTTCTTTGGTCTGGCCAGGTCAGCAACCAGCCGCCTTATTGGGGTACGACCTTTCGCCCAGCGTTTCCGGAATTCAGTCAGGATGTTGCAGGTGCAGCAGATGAGTTGAGTGGTCACAGTTTTACAGATCTTGAAGGCCCAAGACAGCATAATCAGGAGCGAGTGGTAATGAGGAGAGTCCGAGGACGAGTTCATAGAGCGCAGTAGAGCAATGTAGAGGACATGCAGACGGAAGACGGTTCCTCCACACAAAGCAATATACGGCACGTTGAAGCACTGAGGCGCTTGCATGGACAGCTTACTTTTGTAATGCCATGTTTGCGGCGACTGTTGGGACTTTCAGATGCCAGGGTCAAGTGCGTGAAGGCACCTGCTGCCTACATGCACTTACATTACAGCCAAGTCACGGGGATTTCACGGAGATTTTTCGCAGGTACATGGATTCACGACCGGTGCTCCGCAGGCAGAAAGACACGTGCCTTGGAAACAAAAAAAGCTCAAGACAATTCCCTGTGTATGCTGTCAGCCAAAAATGTGAGCAGCTTCAGCTTCAGATCATGTTTTGGAAGCTTGCAAAATTGTGCCGAGGGTGGAGATGGATGCATGCACTGTTCTCGCCGAGGGCAAATCAGTTGAAACCTTGCCTGGCGATGATGAACAGATTCAACTACTTGACGGATCAGTCCAGGCACCTGCGAGGCCGACACGCTTGACTGACTTACACTTCGTTACGTCCCTGCACAGCAGCAATGAGAACCAAAGTAGGGAAAGGACAAAGCACTGGCCATGTAGATCTTAGTTGCTGATGGAAGGGAAAGTGTAGAGGTGCTGTTGCATACATAACCTCACAGCGTGGACACGGCGTGGACACAGCGTGGAATGACAGCCGTGAGGCATGGCTCAAGCTACATGTCTTGCGTTTTGTGCAGGCCAATCCAAGTTGGATTGCACCGACGACCTGTTGGAGTGACAGGTCTGAGATACGCAAAAACGATCAGCACAATGATCAGCAATGGTCCGGTCGTTGATAGCAGTGGTCACCTTAAGTTCAGCAGGTGTGGCAGTATAATGGGGGACGGGCAGCGCCTACCCCAGCAGCTCTTGCAACCTGCGTGGAAAACATCATAGAGGACCGGGTGGAAACCGTCAAGAGGCAAGAGGCCATCGCCGAAGCCTAAACGCCCACCTTGCCCGCCCGCCACATCTGAAAATGACGGAATCGTTCTTTTGAGTTCTTTTTTAATGTTGTGCTTCTTGCTTTTTAGGGTCCTGGCCTCTTTGTTATGGTTGCCGCTTCTTGCTTTCTGCTTGTTGCTTCCTGCATTCGGCTCTTAGCTTTTTGCTTTTTGTTTTTCCCCACCCTCGCAGTGGGGTTGTTAGATTTTAAAGTCTATGTTGTCCTGGCCTTCCGCCCGGAGCCTGACTGCAGTGCCCAACCGCGGAGTACCCCTACAATCCAAGCCCAGCCGCAGCCGCAGATATCCCTGCAGTGCCCAACCACCAAGTATCCCTGCAGTGCCCATGCCCAACCATAGAGGATCCCTGCAGTGCCCAAGTGCAGAGTATCCCCAATCCTCCAGGAAACATTCTGTTTCTTGTACAATAATGGCTTTAGGGTGGGGATGCTCGAAGTAAATGGTTTTTGTTTTTTGCTTTCTGCTTTGTGCTTTCTGCTTTGTGCTTTCTGCTTTTTGCTTTCTGCTTTGCTTTGCGCTTTCTGCTTTGCTTTGCGCTTTCTGCTTCGTGCTTCTGCGTTTTGGCTTTCTGCTTGTTGTTGCTTTACGCTGTTTGCTTTTGTGCTTTCTGCTTTTTGCTTCCTGCGTTTTACTTCCTGCTTTTTGCTTCCCGTTTCTTGCTGCCTACAGTCTGCTGGCTGCTTTCTGCTTTTTGCTTCGTGCCTCCACTGTGCTGCTTTTGACTTTCTCTTGCTTGTTGACTACACTCTGCTTCGTGCGGCTGCTTTCGGCCATTTTGCTGTTTGATTTGTCCTTTGCGCTTCTTGTTTGATATATTGTCTTTTTTAGCCTTGTGGGGCTTCATGGCCAGGCGTACTTGAACTTCTCGTATTCAGAATGCGAATTGAGACGCCACGCACACACAAAGCTGCCACTAGCGGAGGTGCTGTGGTAGAGGGGGGTGGGTGCACTGCGACCCCTCAACACAGGTGAGGTTCTGCGTCCTACTTTTGCTTGCCGCACCTATCCGCACCTGCTGAGTTGAAGTGGCAGTTTTCTTATTCAGAATGCTATTGAGATGCAACAGAGCAATGCATTCTCGGCAAAGTTGGCACGAGCGGAAAGCCATATAAAATGTCCCGTGTATGCAGTAGGGCAAGGTTCTGCGGATCATTTTGTTTGCAAGTGGGATGGGGCTGCACCCCCCCAACCCCCCGCTTCTTGGAAGACATCCATGCTTACGGCAAAAACCTCTTATCATCACCATGTTTGGATTGTTGTGCGGATCATTTTGTATGCAGGTGGGGGACTTTGCTGAAGCCATCCATGCTTGCGATAGAAAAACATGTTTCCCCGTGTTTGCATTAGGGGAGCGTTGTGCGGATTAGCTTGTTTGCGAATGTGGGGGACTGCGCCTCCCCAGACCCCCGCTTTTTAAGGCCATAAAGGCTTGCAACAAAACACAAGCATCATGGCATCACCATGTTTGCAGTAAGGGATGGTTGTGCGGATCATTTCTTTTGCACATGAGGGGGGGGCTGCCCCCTCCCCAGCCCCCGCTGCCTTGTTGAAGCCATTCATACTTACGATAAACAAGTCATGTCATCACCATGTTTGCAAGAGGGCAAGATTGTGCGGATCCTTTTTTGGGCGATGGCGGAGCTGCGCCCCCCCCCCCGACCCCCCGCTGGGTTGAAGCCGTCATTGCTTAAGGCGTATATTAAAAGAACATGTCATCGCCATGTGTGCCGTAGGGAGGGTAAGGGAGGATCATGCGGATCAAATTTTGTGCAAAGGTGACGCTGCGCCATCCAAGTGTGCAAATGACAACCTCTCTAGATGCTGTAACCCGCAGTGTCTAGTTTACGTTCTTTGCAAAGCTCCGAATATTGTAATTTCTAACATACATCGGCAAACCCCAAAAAATCAGAGCCGGCGTGCCGTGATTTACAGTGCTTGCAAGCTTGAAAGAATTCCAAATGCTGTCATTTACAGTACTTGCAAGCTTTAAACAGCTTGATGCTATAGTTCTGTCTGCAAGCTCTAGATGAGCTCCGTATTGAAACAATCCAAGAGGATCAGAGGGTGCAAAAGCGACGACATGTACGAGGATGGCGAACCCGACCCCACAATCCTTCTGACCTTCGATACTTTTCAAACCCCGACAGGATCCGAAGATCCAAGACCAACGACAGTTGCCAGGATCGTGAGTGCGATCCCCGCAATTTCTGTGATTGTTGACACTGTCCAAACCCCAAGCGGGTCCGAGGGTCCAAAAGCAAGGACAGTTACGAGGATCGCGACCCTGACCCCCCCGTCAGTTTCTGTGCTTGTTGACACTATTTCTTCGCCTGCCCAGACAACAACTGGCAATTTAGTCAGCCTGGCTATCAAAATTTGGCCACTGAACTTCACGTAACTCAGTACTTCCAAAACCAATGGGGATGTTGAGTGGTTTCCCCAAGACTTTGCGCAGTTGAGAGTCCATATTAGTCGGGACTCAGTAATTTTTTCTGACTCCTCTTACGCGTACCGGGAGGCTGGAGCTTGCAGACGAGGTCTTCATTCCTGAGGATGGTTCGGGCCTCAGCATCCTTGGAAGGCAGCATGCAACCGCCACAAGCATTCCTGCAGGAAGATACGTAAAGGTTGCTGATGTTGTGTATGCTGCCTTGCTCCCAGGGTATTTTCGGGCAGGGTACAGGATGTGCAGTAGTGCAGGCGTAGACACCCAAGACAGTATGGGCTCCACAGGCGTTGATCACAATGCGTACTGAGCAGAGATGTTGGCATGGCGGACCCATCATGATGCCTTCATATCCTTCGTGCCAAAATCGCTGCAACGCACCATTGGCGTGTGCTTGTCAAGTTTCCTTTAGGCTGATCTGTGACGCAACGAAGTCCTCGCAGACCTGTTGGGAAAAGGCCTCCATGCACAGTTTGGCCGGGCTTCACGACGCACCTCAAGGTAGGCAGCAACTTGAGAAGGCACAGATGTTTATACGGAAGGCTCGAAGCCCCAGTGGAAAGTCTTGTGCTTTGTTTAGCCAGCGCCAGCCTCTCAAAGCCTCCAGGCCTTACTTCTGCGATTTATGTCGTATGTGATGTATGGTTTGCACTTTGCATCTTGTCCACTTAAAGGGAATCACGCAAAGATCCGATCGGTTTTGATAGAGGCGGCCTGGCCTTGAGGTCATCATCCCCGTCTCTTACGCGGAGCGAGCGGCGGAAGCAGCTTGTTGAGTGGTTTGACGGATGAGCCTGCTCCTCATGTCCACACGAAGGGTCGCGAGGGTTTTTCGCAGCTGCTGCCATTCAAATGGTGATGAGGCTGCCTGGTTCAGCTCGGCTTCCATGGATCTTGACAGAAAGAGCCAAGCTGCTTGTTTGCAACCTACGTCCTCAATTTCACTTTCTTGTTTGAGTTGGTGTTCCTCAAGCATGTGCACCAGGTTGGCGATTGGGCTGGCTGTCCTTCTCAATGCAGCGGCAATGAGCGTGGAGGTTGAAGCTGAACTTCGTTTCGGAAGGACACGCACGAAACAAGTGATGTGCAGTCGAGTAGCCATGTTGCTTGTCGATTGCTCTGGCTGGTGCTGCTTGCTGCACAGGACCTCTGTGCTGGGCCTGTCCATGTATATTGCGCCGTCGAAAAATTATCATGTTTTATCAATGAGGGGCTCAAGCGCGTTCCTTGGTGCACACACCTGTGCAGGTGCAGTTGGTCTTCCTGCTTTTGTTCATAGTGGAGCTACTGTTGAACATCCGTTGTTGGGGCTTGGCTTTCTTCTTCAAGCATGGTGCTTCTGCGACTTGGTATAAGAAGAAAGGATAAGTCGCTACTGCTTCACAATTGATTGGGAAGGGCGGGTTCTTTCGTTTCTGATATGTACAGCAAGGCTCCTACCAAAAACTCTTCCTTCCGTTGCGCACGGCTTCTTCGTCAATTCATGCACAAGCTGCAGATTCAAGGATTGTTTGACCTTTTTGTGGTGCTGTCTTCCGTCGTCGACTTATGCATCATGAGGCCGATGGATCTGATTTCAGAAATGTCTGCCCGCAAAACAGCACAAGCCTTCAGCGTATTCCGAATACTTCAGCTGTTTCGCTTAGCTCGGATATTTCAGCTACTCCGACTGTCGCACGAACTGTCATTACTGGCCTTCAACTTGGCAATGTCATTGAAGGCAGTTTTTTGGGTATTCTTGCTTCTATTCACCTTGATCTACATCGGTGCTTTGTTTTGCGCAAGCGAATTGGGCAGCTCCGGCAATGCCCAGCTGCGAAGCTTATTCGGCAATCTCTGGGCCAGCATATTTTCACACTTCAAGCTCATGACCCTGGAGCAGTGGGTAGACGTTTGCAACCTGGCCATGGAAGAAAGTCCGCTCTGGGCGGTGTACTTCCTTTGCTTTATCATACTTACAAACTTGACGTTGGTGAACCTGGTGACTGGTTTAATCATCACTGGTGTTGTTGAACATGCCAAAGAAGAGGATTGGACTTGGTTGGAGCAACTTGTGGAAGAGATTCCCTTTATCGAAGCTTTGGAAGGTTTGGTTAGGAGGAGCAGGGGCAACTATGACGCAGCCCTCGATTTCTGTGATTTCGAGGTTCTCCTCACTGAGTCTGAGTTTCAGGCGATAGTTTCACTCTACGGAATCTCCCTCCAAATGGATGCCCGGCAGCTTTTTGACATTCTTGACTCAGATGGCAACGGCAAGTTGGAGATCAGGGAGCTCGCGCAGTGCTTGCTGCAGCTCCGGGGGTCAAATCAGTGCCTTCATCCGGTCCTTGTAAGGCATGAGGTGAATCTAAAGGGCCGATCATTTGCAGCCCACGTGGCAGAATTGGAGAAGAAGCTGCCGAAGCAGTACTTTTCGGATGTTGCAGACTGGGAGCAATCTTTAAACAAGCAGCTGCGGGAATGGACTTCTGAAACCGCCGGCTGTGGAGCCCGCTTTGAAAGAAAGACGTCTGGACCGTTTGGAGGCACAGGCAGCGCAAACGTCTGGAGGCCAGGCCAGGATGCCGAAGTGTCGGGCCAGTCGGGCTCTGTGCCGGCTCTGCCCTCCCTCCTAAATATGCTCCACGCCGCCTGCTCTTCCATCGAGGCCGGGGATGGATGGGGATGGGCAGGCTTTAGTGCCTTGCCGATTTTTCGAACCCCTGAAGCAGACTGCTCAGGTCTTGCGAGCAAAGATCGCCTCAACAGCAGAGGAACTTCAGACGCTTCAGCTGCAGGACCCCAGCAAGCAGCAACCTATCTAGTTGGCCTTCAGGTGGGCGCCCCTTTGCTCATGGATGTTGTGCATTGCAGGAGAGCCGCTTGGAAGCACAACTGCGCGTGCCTTGCCAAAGCAAGGGCATGCAGATGTCGGAAGATATTTGTGATGAACGACTGCTTGAGTGATGGCATCTACGTCTTTCTATGCCATGTGCCCAACGCAGTTTTTTTCCGCGTTCGTCAGGTTTTGTTGTTAGTCTGCTTGAGTCAGAGTTTCAGTAGGATGGTGGCTCACATTTCTTGTTTGCCAGGGTCGGGCGCCTGCAGATCCTTGGCGTTGCTTTTAAAGGGTAGCGTAGAATGCTGCTTCAAGCCTGGACGGGCTGCAAGCTGGGCACGTGGTTGGCTCAGTGGTACTGACCGATGAAAGCTGACCTCTCAGCTGCGAATCAAAATGATATCCATGAAGCTCATGACGCAGACGGCACAGCCTGAAAATCTGGCCGTGTACTGCTGTTTTGCTTTTCGCAGGTACTGAATGAGATCTTAGAGAAGGCCCAGGGCGAGTCAAAACCTTAGTTGCGAGGTGGCTTTCGCACCTGTTGCCTTTGCTCATGGAGCCAGATTTCCAGCTCCAAGTTTTTTAGAGGTATTTCGATCATCTTTTTTTGCCGAGCGTCACTGACTCGAGGCTGGATCATCTGCGAAGCAATGAGCAACGAGAACTGCGCAGCTTCGAGCTTCGCAAGCAGCTGCGGCCTCTGCCATGTGCACTGCTAGCTTGTACCAGCCCAGGCTATGCGTTTTTCCGTCGATAGCTGCTTTTGTGCAAGTCTTTGCCTTTCCGCCTCAGTTCGTCATGCGGTTTGCACTCTTGCAACGCAACCTTAAGCTCTAAGCTGACCAAGGGGTGATATTGGGGTGAAGAGAGTAAACAAGAAACAAGACCTACTGACGGATTTTGCCAAATACTGCGAAACTTAGGGGCAGTTGCGCCAACGCAGCAAGTTGCAACAAGCAGCTAGATGGTGCTTTTGACTCGCGAAGCGGCAAAACCAAGTAGCCCTGCCGATGTACATCCAAGCCATTCCCAGCCATTTTGCACAATGCAGTAGGTCACTTTCTGATCGGATGGGCTTCAAAAAGCGAGATCTGGCCATGCCCTTGGCCATAAGTGCAGGGTATCTGGAAACAAAATGCCAACAAGTCTGGTGGTTTTGAGTTGCTGTGAGGCTTCAGCAAAAGAGGCTCGCAGCGAGGCTTCCCAAAGAAAAGCAGTTGCGGCACCTTGCCAGCACAACTGCCATCACAAGGGCTGCAGATGCTGCAGTGCACAGTTCATGCCGACCGTCGTGACCCTTCCCGTTCTCAGGAGAAGCGCCTCGCATCAGCCCATACTGGTTTGGGTGAGTCTGCCAGGGACTGAGGGGGGATAACATGCAGCATGGACATGCAGCATCTTTCTCAGCTCACGTTTCTCGTGGCCCGAGGCAGCAGCCCTTCAGGATAGGGCGCCTCAGTGAGAGCATGGTTGCTGCCCTGCTTTGATTTTGCATGTAGGACTTGCAAAAAACTTGCCTTCAGAAAGCAGCCCCAGACTCAAATGCCGCAACACACTGACGCTGCTCCACTTCTGTGCTGTGACTGAGTCCAAGTTCGAGGAGGAGACCCAAGCAAGGGCTGATGAAGTGAAAGCCGCTTGATTATATACTCACCTGACACCTTGCGCCGGGTGTTCTTGGCATCTTCCTGCCCAGCATGATAGTTAGTGAACACATGCAACAAATGCAAAAATGTGGCTTTGAGGTCTATTTGCGGCTTCAAACTTTGCTTCATGTACTTGTCCAAGGCCTTGCAAGAGGCGAAGGAAGCGATCACCTCGCAGATGCAAGGCTCGACGCAAGGATCGGTGAGATGAACAAAGTTCACTGCCTTATCAGGCTCGATGTCTTTTCTGCAGCTGCAGCGCAGGGGTGGCGTCCTCAGCCTGGGTTGTGGTGGTCATGATCTTCGCCCCTAGCAAGACCCTAACACTTTTTGGCCTGCGGGTGGCTTCTTGCAGAAGCCTTCCCTGTTCGGGCTTCATGGCTGCAATGGAGTCGTATCTGCAAAGGCTGACGAGGAATCGGAAGCAGACCGCGCGGACAAGTACAGAGAGCCCATACAAGAACACCCCATGCCGCGCAGAGAGAGTCCGTGATCCAACGGTTTTTGCTCAGCAGTAACGGGGGCAGAAGGAGCAACGTGGGAGATCAGATGATGGGCTTGGAGTTGACGCTTTGGGACAGACCATATGCTTGCAAGAGAGGCCCCAACTCCCAGTTTTTCCGAAAACTTTTCAAGACTATAAAGTCACAAGCCTTACAGCCATGATTCAACAAGATGCATTGTTCTGTTTTCCGCAAGTAGTTTTCCAGCCCCTGCCAGTTGTTTCAGCACAACATGTCGATTACATAAAGAAGGCAGAGATCCCAGCTAGCTTTCCAAACCCCAAGCTGCAGCTTTGAACGTCTTGTGACGAAGAACTGCCATTTTACTGCTTCATGCTTTCAACGCTTCTTTGGGACCCAGGCGGAGCAGGGGATCGTGGAGGAATGGTCGCCAGCACGGATGGCAGGAGGGACATGTCGGCAAAGTTGACGCGGCGGGAGGGCAGAGCGTAGGATGCGGGATGGCCCGAGAAATGGTCACAAGCCAGCACCGCTAAAAAACTCAGATCTTGCAAGGCACAGCGTGATGCCCTTGTTTTGCCTGAGGTGAGCGACTCTAACCTCTGCCTTTGTGAGGCCCGGATTTTGTACAACTGGCTCGCAGAAGATAAAGGACTTTCGGACTAGAGATGTGAAGCACAATCTCACATCTTTAGTAGAATACATTTTTTAAACGGGGCACGGGAAAGTGGACAGATTGCAAATACCACCTTTCAATGCTTGAGTTGGACTACCACCAGGATCCATCTGAAGCAAATACCCCACATGTGTTCACTGCCTGGCACCTGACCACCTAACTCCCGTCCGTCTTCACAACTCCAGCCGACCACCTGTCCGACCATCCCGCATCCGCTGACCACTCCTCCTGCCATCTGTACTTGAAACCACACCTCCCGAATGCAGTCTGAATGCAATCTGAACCGAAACTTTTGGCGTGGCAGCATGGCCGGCCATGACTGCGTCCGCTTTCGTTTCTGGAGGTTCCTGGTTTAGGATGTTTAGGGGAGTCTGGTGCGGTGCCTGGGGAAAGATGGGGCCTTTGGGCTTGGGACTTGATGGGCAAAAAGGTTTTTGGCCTGCCTTACAGGGCCAGTTGTTATGGCGTTTCTGTTGTAGATTCGCCTGGCTGCTTGTCATTTGATCTCCTTGGGTGGGATGAGGGCGGGTGATGACAGGTCCCCTAGCCGGCCCTGCTCAGCCTCGTCCATCGAGTTTCCGTTACTTTGAGCCAGCCATCCAGAGGTCTTGGAGCAGGTCTTGGTTTCTGGGAGCCTATCACCATAATGAGTATGTGGTGCCGTCATGAGTGAGTGATGAACACATGATGGCAGAAGTTAAAAAGCTAACTCTGTTCAAGAATGCAATAGCCAGCAAAAGCCAAACTTTTGAGAAGGAGCAAGAGTGATCTTTCTGACCAGGCGGTAGCCAGCAACAAAAGGGTGGAATCCAAGGTCTAAAGGCAGCGCCAACTCCAGCTGCATCGGATGTGCTTGGCCTCAGACGAAGCCAGATTGCCCAGCATGGTTGCAGGAGTCGAGGCATGGACTATGATGAGTCTTCTCATTGGATGTGTGACCGATGCACCCTGTTTGTTGGGCTTGCGCAGAATTCCTGAAAATCCAGGAGCCAGTGTTGATGCCTCTCTCGTTGCCAAGACATAGCAGGTGTTTATGTCAGTGTCCGCTTCTTTGTGCCAACTTCGCAGCATGCAGCTGAACTCAAGCCCGCGCACTTTGTTCACCAAGCTTGCTAACATGCAGTGCCACAAGCATCCTGTTATCCGGCATGCATTCTGTTGCAGGAGCACAGGTTCTTATAAGGTAGTTGATGATTGTAATTGGGTGTCGTGGTTGTTGTCATAAGTGTGCAGGAGGAGGAACATTAGCAGTAGCAGGAGCAGAAGCAGCAGCAGCAGGCGGAAGAGGAGGAAAAGCAGAAGCAGGCGCAGGTGTGGGTGCAGGTACTGGCGTAGGCATAGAAGGAGGAGGAGTGGTAGCAGTAGCAGGAATTGCTGCTGCTGCTGCTGCTACTGCTGCTGCTGCTGCTGTTGTTCTTGTTTTTGTTGTAGCCACTGCGGGAGCAGGAAAGGATCATTGAATGGGCTTGGGGCGCTTCTAGAGGTCTCCACTAGGCCTCACTTAGAACCTGAAGGTGGGCTGCACCGCTGCTGCTTCGGAAAAAATGCGCCATCTGCAACATTCCCAGCCAACCAACGTTGACACGGTACGTCAAGATTCGAATCCCTTTTCCACAACCTTGATCGAGTCCACAGGCCGGCTGTGTCTCAAAGCCGAAGCGCTAAGCAATGTTGTTTTATCCAGCGAATTTAGCAACATCCAATCGCCTGTGATAGTTTCACCTCATCGTCCTCAGAGAATCCAGAAGTGGCAGTTGGGCAAAATTCAAAAGACGAGACGTGGGCTGTGCTGTATGTGTGCTCGTGGGTGGGAGCTCTTTCCGACCTTATGTATCCACGCATTTTTGAGTCAGCAACACCTGGACTGCTTGGTACTGCCTGCTGTAAACCAGAGTGAGCAAGCTTTTGGCAGTATTCTAGCTTTCAAGTGCTCTGCCCAGCGCGCGGGCTTCGGAAATCAGAACAGCCACCTGAACAGAGCAGCCGAGCGCCTTCACTTAGGAAGCAACCGCAGCAGCAATGGCAGCAGCCAGATCAGTCAGGCCTTGTTCCAGTGAGAACAGCGTGGAAACTGTCAGTCACGCACAATTTACCGTGTGCATTTGGCTGATGCGCTAGGCGGCTGGCAGTTCGAGCGGATTCGCCTGCGTTCCTTGATTCAAAATGTACCCCGGAAAGCCTATTGCCTACTGCCTACTTGGAAGACTGAGCTGAGGCTTATCGAGCTTGCTGGCCGGTTGGATTACGTTGCCAAAGGCCGCTTGGGGAGCATCCTGCTAGCATTTCAGCCTCGGCGCCAAGCCTTCGGCGCAAAAGCAAGCACAAGATTTCCTGCTTGTAGGTCAACGGTCAACGTTGACCGGTCGGTCCTTAAGCCAAGCAAGATTGACGTGCTTCTCAGGCAGCGGTGATGCCTTCAAGAGGGTCAGAGGCAGGACGGTTGGAGTAGGACGGAGCTCTGTCGCTCTGTCTGTCTCTGTGAAGGCCTCATTGGAGAGATGATTGCCAGCGCCTTGGCAGGTGCGTGCTAACAAGTTTCAGTCTGCTCGCGCAAGGGGCGCCTCCAGTCCGAAGCCCACGCTGAAGCAGATCATCAGGTCGGTACGTTCTGTCTGGAGTGCTTTTCTTTTGTTTGGCTTTGCCCAAACGAGCCCTCTCCACCGGCACAACACGGTCGTCTGTTCTGCAAAGTTAGTTGCTCCAGGTTTCGAAGCCAAATGCAGTGCATGTCACACTGGCCTCTAAGGCTGTAGCTCAAGCTGACAGGGACATGCACCCACAGGGAAAACTGCTCACAACGAGGACAATAGCAACAGTACAACGCTAAACGACAGCAAGTTTACAAAGACTAGATACGCGCAACACGTGCGAAACCTGAAGCCAAGTTCTGCCCCGCTTTTTGCGGCTTCGAATGCAGTTTGAGGTTGCCGCGTGCCCCTTGCCTAGAATCTGGGCTTCCACGTGCACACATACATACACATGCGTGCAATGATTGCGCTTTATCTGTCTTCATCGGCGTCTGCCAGTTACCAGCAGGCTGCGAACAGCCGTAGAAAAATGCTGGGAGACGCTTGGATCACGCCATGTGCCATCTGGTGAGGATAATCTGGTCCCTGTCCTCGCTCGGACAGCAACATGGGTTTCAATGCCAGCAGCGTCTTCTATCTGAAATCTCAGGTCAAATGCAACCGATGCAAACTGATCTCAACGAAATGCCACCTGATGCCAACTGAAAGCTAACTTATCCGGTCGCTCTATCCATGAAGGCTGTGTCACAAGTCAAGTAGCTAAACAACTTGCAGCCAAGCGACGTCTGGTCAAGAGTTCGCATCCGATGTTCTAGTGGAGCTTCGTTGGCGCACGCCGTGCTGCCCCTGTAGCTTTTTAAAAGCCGCACCCGCATGGACATGCGTACAGTGTCTGTCCTGGGCAAGAAGCGGGCCCGCCAGGCTCAGGGTATCCTCCATGTCCTTAGCTATGCAGTGATTTCACATTTCCACATTCTAGGTGCTCAGCTGTTTCTGCAATGTTGCAAGCCATAGTTCATTACATTTTTTTTCGGTTTTCGGAGGCTGGAGAGATTCAAAACAAGAAGCATGGCATAGCCCCCTACCCCTAATGACTCCTACATTTCTTGCTGTAGGGGTTTTTGGAGGCAGGAAAACACCCCAAATGAGACACGTAGCACCCAACATTTCTTGTTTTAGGGGCTTGTGGAGACAAAACAAGAAGCGTAGCCACCGTTAGCTTGGGCATCAGAGAGCGGGTTGCTGGTGGCTTGGCTTCAAGCCATGTGCTGCCAACGACAAATCTCTGAACGAAGAGGTTGCTGGCTTGGCCTCCCATGCGCCAAAAGAGAGGTTCCGGCTGAGTCTCATGCTAAATGACGCCGAACTGAAAAAAAGGTTGCTGGCCTAGCCTCATGTATATCTGGATTGCAGGCTTAGCCCCACGCCATCCTATTGTTGGCTTGCAGGCTGTTGCAGATTTAGAGCCACGCCAAGAAAAGTAGTGGCAGGCTTAGCCTCATGCTAGGCTTAGCCACGCGCCAAACGAACAAAAAAAGGTTGCCGGTTCAGCCTCATGCTATGTCACGTGACCAAACCAACAGAAGAGGCTGCTGGCCTGGCTTCATGCTGTTTGTGGGTTGCAGATCCAGCCCCACGCCAAATGCGAGAAAAGAAAGAACAAACAAGCCGTGGGGTTGGGCTCATGCTAGGTTTATCTGAAAAACAGAGATGCTGGCTTAGACTTGTGGTATATCTGGCTGCAGGCTGAGCCCCACGCCAGATTCTAAAAGAGCAGTTGGATGCAGAAAGCCTCATCCTAAATCCAGCATGTAGCATGGGCGTAATACAAAGCCTTTCAGTATGATGGTTTGGAACGAAATGCTGCAGATAGACAGGGACGGATTTGGCAGAACGTCTTTCGAGCGCATTCGGAAATTCATGAGAACCCCAATGCCAAAAGAGTTTTGGATCTCAAGTCCTTGGACCAAATGCCAGCAAGTGCTTACTGATGCCAACAAAACTCATCGTGATGGTAATGTATTCGGTCGAACTATGTAGAATGCAACTTGCACATGCTCTTCCACCACTTGAGTTCTTTGTGGCTGGACGCTGTGAAGTCTACATCCAAGGTTCACACCCTAGCTGCTTGGTGGTGGGGCTTTGTTGGCCCTACCAGATTGCTATCATCCTTTGCTCCACGTTGCAACGTACCTGGTAGAAGGGCGAACTGCTTGGCCCAGTCATGTTTTCCCTGAAAGCTATTCGTGCCAGAGACTGCTGACATGGCCCGGGTGAGATTATAGCCACACAAAGTGGGCGTCATGAATGGTTCCGGAGGCTTTCTGTGACAAGGAGATGTCGGTCGCTTCGCTCAAGCGTTTTGCACTTGGGAAGACCAGTCAGTCACATGAGGCCCTAACTTTTGGTTTTTCTATATTCCAAGGTGACGACAAACAGTCAGATGTGGACAAGCTGTCGCCGTAAGCTCAGAAAAACAGCTGTAAAGTCCCGGACAGAGTGCGTTCCTTCGTAGAAGTTGACGGCAGTTGCCATCAAGTATTTGGTTTGCTTCAGCTTCACAAACTTATTGGCCTAGCATCGTGGATCATTGTGGCTGTCCCGTGGTGCTTTGATTTCGCACAGCCGACATGATGCTTCGAAGTTCTTGACCGTAGAATGCCACTAGAGTCAAGCACGCAGTGGCCCAAGATAGTTTTGCAACATGTTGCTACTAATCCTCAGGACAAAGATAGACGAATCGAAATCACAGCTGACGCTGCTGACGGAGCAGGTCGGGATACTGCGCAAGGACCTGCTGCATGCTGACATCACTGATTTGCTTTAACAGTAGTAGGAGGAGGTGGGTGAGTGTTGAGTATCTAGCTCTTATAGGGCTACATTGGTTCAAAGGGAGACCATCCATGCGGGGGGTGATGAAATGTTTGTTATCCTGTCAATGGGTGGAGTCCTTTTAAGATAGCACTCCGAGCCTGCCTGGTGCCCGATTAGCCCTGGACGCGCAAGGGCTTCGCGCGCAGGCCCCGACAGGCCTGTAGAGCCCATTGAGCAAGATAGAGGAGGGAGATGGGGGTAGCCATTTCCGTAGCCATTTTAGCTCAAGCCTTTTTAGATCAAAACTGGAAAGCAGGGCGCCCCTCCGCGAAGGAAAAGTACAAGCCCATCGAAATGCCGTCCTTATTAGATTCAGGTTTGCCGGATGCCACCTTGGATCCCCACGGTCTCACGGCTTGGGGATTCATAGGGCCCCTTGTGCGGAGAACTGCTGACCAGGAGATCGAGTTGAAGAAAGATAGCCTTCTTGTTTGGGGTTCTTCGCTTGAGATCATCTGGATTGTTTGATGACCTAACCTCGTGTATCATTCCATTGCGAGGTTGTTTGGACAATTCTTTGGAGAGAAGCAGCGTATAGCCATGGAGCCGAGCCGCACGCAACTGTCAGTGGGAACCGGAACGGATACAGCCGACTTTACTACGACGGGAAAGAGAACAACGGTAGCAATGGGAGACAAAGAAGGTCAGGCTACGTCATCCAGCACATCCACATTGCCAGTGGGAAATGGAACCGGTACAGTAATCTTTGCTGCGACGGACAGAAGGGCAATGCTGGCAATGGGAGACAAGGAAGATCAGGTTACCTCATTCAGTGCAGCAATGAATCGACAACCAGAGAACCTCGTCATGTGGATGAGAAAGCAGGTCTGTATCAGAGCACTGGGAGGCGGGCTGTACGGGCGATCAAGAAGCAGGGGATACCAAGGAAATAGCAACTCGCCTGGAAGGAGCAGACACGACGCGGGGAGAAGATGCAACTTTCCTTTTGCTGCAACAGACGCTGGAAAGGTATGGCTCCTGAAAAGTCCTTGTGGCCTGGATGGAAATTGGAAAGCCATTTCAACGTCAGAAAAAATTACCCGTACACAACGAACCAGCTCTGAGACAATGATCCATGGAACACTATGTTCGAGACTGAAGGGAGAATTCAGCATGTTCGCCAACCACCGGGTGGTAAAGCCCATCCGGGAAGTTGGCTTCCATGACCCCTATTGATACCATGCAGGTAATTCGCTGTACCCGCTGACAAGGGAGTGGGAGAAGGTTATGGAGACGATCCCCATCTTGCTTTGTGGTTTTTGACCACCTTGAAGTGGGAAGCGGGTAGTTGAGGGTCGAAGACGACAGTTGCAAAAAAGGCAATTGGAAGGAAGATGAAAACGTGCAATAGCCTTGTAAAGGTGATCGGTGTAAATTGGATGTACAGCGTGCGAACAGTAAGCAGGATGAACTCTAAGGTCGTTTTTGCGCCCAAAACCACCACACGCACGCGGCCGTGGATCACGGATGAGACGCTGGAAGCGCTGCCCGTGGCTAGGATAGCGGAAGCACAACAAGACCACAACGCCAAACGGCTCAGACATAAGACTAAAATATCTGCATGCAAAGACCGCATCAAATGGGTTCATGCCAGGTTACTGGATCAAAGAGGAGATGAGACCACGGGGCTTTAGAAGACACTGAGGTCCTAGAAAAAAAACTTTCGGGTTAAAAGGCCTCAGACTGCTTGAGTTCTCTCTATCCACGCAGGAAATTTGGTTGGCAGCAGCGCCAGTGGGAACTTACAGCAAATACTGGCGTTCAGCAAGGGGGTATTCCCTCCTCCTACGTCTTCTCCCATATCATAAATGATATTCGTGAAACGTTGTTGAGGATCTTCGGAGTTCGGGAGTGATGCCGCGTTTCGGGGTTTTCGGATGGGTTTATATCAATGATCACCTGTTGAGATTCAAGGATTGGCGCCAGGCAGTGGAATATTTGCCAATGCGTTTAGCCATGTTCAGCCAGAATCGAACAAGCTGGTCTGAAAATCAACCTCGACAAGACCACAGTCATGAGCACTGAGGAGTTATTCGAGGAGGGCCGCGATGTTCTCAGTGGGTGCGAAAGGAGTCACCCACTGTGGTTATGTCAGTTCAGTACGAAATGCAAGTATCTCAAAAAAAACTCCACATTCAATCTGACCTCTCTTCTGACCTTTTGGCGCAGGCAAAGCAAGCCACACATCAGCAGCTGGTGGCGATGCAAAGCATATGCAGAAAGCTCAAGTGGACAAACGCCGCTTGTGCGCGCAGCATTTACGTGAAACATATTGCCAGTACTTGGACCTGGTACAGCATCCTCATTCAGCCACTGGACAAATATCTTGATCAGGTTGCGGTTATGCAGGCTGTTATGCGACGCACCTTTGATTTGGAACGCGCAGATGATACGCTTCTTATCTCATTGACCACAACGCAGCTCCAATCTCTGTTGCACGCCTTGGAAGTTTCAATCAGACAAAAACAGAAATACTTGTGGAGCCTGACAGCCCGCCACCATTGGTGAAATTTAAGGACGGTTCGCTAGGTCCGACCACAACGCAAATTAAATACCTGGGATCCATGATATCCTGGGTTGAAACCTTTTCCCGGGCCCTACGACACAGAGCGACACTAGCAGAAGCAGAGTATAAACAGCTTAGGCTAGTTTGGAATAGTTCAATGCCCCGAAAGAGAAAAAACTATATCTTCCAATCGGTATTTGTGGGAACCCTGATTTACGGCCTCGACGCCCTCACCTTAGCGGATAAACACAAGAAAAGAATCAATGGGGTCTACTTCCGATTCCCGCAAAGAACTATCGGTATCAAAGCCTCCTACTACTTTAGGGTCAGCAACCATTTCATTTGGAGGCAAGCGCACTATCCTAAGAAGCCATCGGACACTTTAAGCAAACTTCAGCACAAGATGATGCACACGGTCTTTACATCAAGTATTGAAGGCACCCCTACACAATGTGGTGTCTTGCTCAGTGTACAGAGACAGAATAGTAATCAAAGGTTGACACAGAGGTAGAAAAAGGCCGTATTGGCTTGAGACTACAACGCAGGCCTTCTACCCAGATTTGTGGTCGTTGCAAATTAGACGTGCCAACTTAGGACGCCTTACAGTTAATGCTGACATCAAGAAAGACTGTAAAGCCACAAGGCAGGCGCCAATGCGCGCAGAGCAGCGCGCACGGCGATAGCAAAAAAACAGGATGAACTGCAAAGTTTTCCGATAACACAGGCAGTGAGACGCAGGGGCGACTGATCATTGATTAGGGTTGGAGGTGATGGTTGGGCTTGAAAATAATCACTCGCTAGCCACCTTCCTCGGGCCTTTGCCACAAATCCTTTTGAGGGAAGACGGCAATTCCGGAACGACGTTGATAGAGGGGCATGGGGTGGGGGGCAAGGAGAAAAGGGGAAGTTACACAACGTCCTTCACATGATTTCTCCGACGTCATTTTTGCTGTGTACAGGGGAAGCGCGGCGTCGGAGTGTAATCCCGGTCCGCCCCCTTGAGGACGGACTTCGCCAGTAGAAGAAGAAGGAGATGCGGGGTCGATGTTTCAGTAAAAAGGAAAGAGGGGTTAGACTTGACAAGTTGCTACGTATCAACGCTATCGTCGCTGCCGCCAAGCCTGCTGAGGTCGACAAAGGGGAGGGGATCTCATTGTAGATTGGCCGATGTGCTGGGGTCACTAAACTTATTACATGGCCATGGTACGGGGTGGCCACGTGAACCTCCCCCCATCCTCTCCCTTTCTGCAGTGCTGACTGCCTGCATGGTCATGGTACAAAGGATATTTTTCTTTCTGATGCATTAAGCATCCCTCCTCCTGTGTTGATGCCTTGTTGGTTTAGAATTTTGCTCCTCACGTGTGTCCAGATGCACCTCAAAATTACCGTCAGCTGCACGCTTGACGCTCCTCAGCATCAACTTAAACACATTGTCATGGCATTGGCAGGAACTTTCTGACATCGCGCAGTCCAAGCTGGAAATTGACCAGGTTTGAGAATAGTTCTTGAACATGCTCTGTGCCATTTTGCTCCGGGGCAAAGGTGCGCCAGGAGGAGAAGGCATTGTTTGAGAAAGCGCGTAAGGACACAGAGGACTCTGAGCTAGTGCATGTAGAATTGTAAGCATGTGTTTGCATTGTGATTGGCCTTCAGCCGCGCTTTGAATTGAGACTTCTCTGACATAACGGCATTGTGATCCATTGTGTCCCCTGTGCCGCGTTGAGCAAGGACGGCATGCAGGGGCTCAAGATGGCTTTGCAGATAATGTGCTGACTTCAGTTTGTGAAAGTTTGCGAGCCTGGCCACGCAGTCGCGCCACACAAGATGCCAACGACAAGACTACAGGAGAACATTCTATGCAAAGATGGGTGGCTCGACAGGTTCGACAAGAAGTGCTTTGTGATGCTTAGTGCATCTGAGTGCCTTCTCCTTTGAGCCTGAGGCCGCAGTGGCCATGCTGTCTGGTCCTGAGACATTTTGACCAGAGTAATTTGCAGCCATGCGACTCAACTGTAGAGGCACAAGTAGGACGAATGGGAAGTCACAGCTTCGCCCCTGAGCGCTTGAACATAGGCGGATAAACGCCTGCAGACGATGTCTCATGTTGTTTGAACCTATGCAGAAAAGCGACGCGGAGCAGCGACTTGGAGATATGCAAGCCAAGCCGTTCTGCCTACGGTTCATGCTAAGGTCTGAATCTGGTTTGCAAGTTCCACGGTTGGGTTGACACAAGCCGGATGAACCTTCATGAACGTTTCTGTCTGACACTGCCGGCTGGCATCATTGCACCACTTGGGTGGTGAACAGAGCTTCGCACTCAGGTCTCCGTGCTGGAGTTCGCAGCATCAGAAATGCGCAAAAGGGCACATGGCCAAGCGTAGCTTGGGATGACATGCAAGCAGCTTGCGGTGCTTGAGTCAAATTTCTTCCAACTGGAGGCCGTGGAGCTGGTCGGAGCCCCCATATATGCTCGAGCGTCACCTTTGCGCTACTCCTTGAAAGCCAAGGAAGCCAGGGAGAGCCAAGCTGCCGCAGAGCACAAGTCGGGCCGTTAGTGGCGTGCTTGCATATGGAGATGCGGCTCTTATGCCTCCTGCCAGGCAGATATCCAGTGACAGTGAGGTGATGCAAGCCACGAAACAGCACGAGGCCATTCACTCCACTACAGCTTCTTTTGGTAGGTGGGCAGGTAAGAGACGGATATTGTGAGGCAAGCTAAGAAATACTTACCTCTCTGAGCGATTGATAAGATATGGTTGAGGCCAGACGCATTGGGCAGCTTTGTTTGCAAGGTGGAAGCTCGCACAGCAGATGCAAGTGCCTTGGACAAGGCGCAAAGTTGGTCAGCACGCAGAGTATGCTTGCCATATGCTTGCCGCCCGGGGCCCGTGAGCTCAGCTGTTTGTTTCAGTTGCTCAACGAGCTGAGCTCCGATCACGCGGCTGCCAAAGAGGAGCTGGATGCCCTGCAGGACGCAGCGACTTCTCAGAATTCACAAAAAAGTAGTGACTGAAGCTTCCAGGACTTCACCGCCAAGCTGCAGGATTACATATTTCGTGTGCTTCGCGTGTAAGGGCTGCTGCGGAGCAGAAGTTTTCAGAGAAGCAGATGTTTGGAACTAGCCGGCACCGTTGACTTTGCAGCAAGACAACATGCCCATCTAAAGAACGGAGTGGAGGAACAGTGCGTGGCCAAACCTGAGCCATATGAGGACTGACCTGGTTCTGATCAAGCCATCCGTTCCACTGTGCTCGGAATCTTTGCAGGAGCGGAAGCAAAGGCGAGAGAAAGAGATCAGTGGACTCAAAGAGGCCGTTAGATCAGATCCCTTCACACAGCTTCCACAGATGAGGGGCTAGTGCAGGCTCTGACAGCCTTGGATGGAAGCGGCCAGCTCCAACCATCGAGCTTGATAGATGAGCCTCACTCAGAAAGATTTGGGACTTGCATTGTACCAAGGCAAGGTGACCAAGCTTTCAGTTCTGACTGATTGCAGCATGCAGCCTTGACATGTCTTGACCAGAAAGGCACCATCTGACTGAGATTCTCCAGTATGGGCATGAGTTAGTATTTTGGTAATACGTTGCGATCCAAGGGTGCCAGCAATCCGTTGCTTTTGACAAGCCAGTATAAATGCTCAGCCAGAGGGCTCAGAATGCTCAAATGTGTCTTGCCATACTCATCCTGCTGTGCTTCAATGGATTTGTGCTTTGTTGTTCCACTCTCAACTGTAGAAGCCAGGGGTGTATGAGTTGTTGGGGGCTCGCTGGAACATGTTGGGATCACTTCTTCTGGGAGTCTGACTCTCAGCAGAAAGATGGAAACTGCTCCTCCAGGCATCACGTGCCTAACCCTCTCTTGGCTCCTGCAATTGAATTGGCCGTGCGAAAGCTGCAAAGGCTGGCGACAAGACTTCGGTAAACACTGTGCAAGCCTTGGTTCGTTTTCAGTTCTGGCAAGTGCATAGAACCACGGGAGCCAAGGTGTTTCTCCAACTGAGAGGTAGTGTTCAAGCAGCCGCATAGCGTCGACACGCATTGACATGACAGGGCCCTGCAAAGATGCGCCAGTACTTGGCTAGTCTGATTGCATGTTGTGACGTGCCAGGGATTCCGCAGCCATTTATCGCGATGCGGAGGGCAAGCGGACAAGCCGGTAGAGCAAGATGCCATGGCTTACAGGCATCAGGGCTGCACGGGCCAAGCTGGATGCAGTCATGGGTGGCATTAATGTCCGCAGATCATTGTCTTCAGCCCATCCCCTGGCTTTCGGCACAGGAGTGTGGGTGCCGTCAGCTGCTGTGCATTGGCTGATGCGCAGTTGATGGTCTAATTTTGGTTTTGAAAGGAGCCTCATCTAGTGGTGAGCCTATCTTGCCCCGGGCTTATGTCAAAGTCCTGGTTGTAGCCTGATGCATTTGGCACCACTTAGGTTACCTATCTCCTGCTGATGGCTTTGTTACCAAGGCTTGAGCAATCGCCAGCCAGGTCAAAGGCACCATCAGAGCCACCATCAGAGTTCTCGCCTGCCTCTGAGAGAAACCAAGCAGGCACGAGCAATGTCAGTGTCTACTGTGCTTCTTCAGCCGCAGGTCTTGGCACGATGATGCATGGGCCCTATGCCCTATGGCATCGTGCTTGTTCTGGTGGCGTACTGGATCTTGGGCAGCTTTTTCGAAAGCTGCTGTGTCAAGGCTTCATCATCTCTTGCACCGTCGGGCACTGCTAGGGATGGCACGATTACAGTGCATCGCCCCAGCAAAGATTGGGGGATTGCAGCCAGGGATCGCGGGTGTCCTGGCATTCATTTTGCCATCTGCAGGTCAATCCTCTTGTCATGCGCCGCGCACTTAAACGGATTCAACCATGTGCTCAAGTCTTGAGCAGGATTCCTGGCTGCCGTATTGCATGTTCCAAAGCTGCATCCCGTAGCGTGAGTGTCGGAGCTGAAGGTATGGGAGAGCACCTCAAGGGAAAGCTGCAGGGCATGATACGCCAGCGTTTTGAGAATTACTTGCACATTACGAAGCGGGGACCTGAGCTGAATCCATACTCGTGTTGGTGAAGCAGGAAGGTGCTCTGGCGCTGGCTACGTATATCCAGACAGTTTTCGCACAAAACATGCGGTGTTGATAAACTTGTATGCTGCTCATCCCGGCAGCCTTCTGGCAGAAGAGAAATGGGTCGAGGCCTGCGAAAGCAGCAATGGCTATCAATTGCATTTAATGTTGGGCAACGCATTTTCCTGAACCTGCCTGTGAGACCTCTGTCGTAGACCTTTCGCCCTTTCAGTAAAAGAATTGACCTCTCTTTGGAGGGGAACAAACAAGAAAATCAGCTGATGCGTATGCGTTCGGCTGTCCGTCACTGCAATCAGACTTGAGGACGCTGCAGAATGACATCGGCAAGCTGGCAGCAGTCAGCTTAGCCACGCTTAGCCAATGTGCTTATGAGGTTTCAAAGAGGCCATGCCCTGCAGTGCCTGCCCTGCTTTCTTGAGGTGCTGACTTGCGAGCTGCAGGGACCTTGGATCTCAGCACCCCAGACGGCAGGACCGCTTCAGTCGGCGGAACGTGTGGAGCGTACATGTGGAAGGGTCAGGGCTGCGGACCTGCTATGACCTGCTGCCGAGTGAAACTAAATAGGGAGACCAAAAGCCAAAGCTGAAATTCATCCTGGCTCACCCAATGCAAAAGCCATCGAAAGCCCGAAGTCGCCCCATAGCTCAGAAGCGATTTTCTGTACAGGAGCCTTGATCAAACAAGTGTGAAATCCCGTCCCCAGTCCGCGGTCTGCATCATACTATTTGGCTCCACATGAATTGAAAATCAAAAGCTGGCAGCTAGGCAATACGAGCAAGTAGCGGAGGTAGCTTGTTAAATCTTGTTAATTTTCAATAGGATGCAACAATTGCCGCCGTTCCAGCCTGGAACTGCTAACTAGAGCAGCACGTCCTTTCAATGAGTGAGGATCAGTCATGCGTGATGTTTCCTGACAACTCTCGCTCTCTCTCTCTCTCTCTATTGCTGCTGCTACCTAGGACCTAGGAAGTGCAGAACTCCAATCAGGTTCTGTCTGTCCAAGCCAGACAGCCTGGAAGTCGGCAAGTTGCATTCTTTGTGTTCTGTGCGTTCATAACAGGTGAGTGAACGGGTCACATTCAACCGGTTCAGCGACAGTAGATGAGTGTGCTAGCGAAATCCCCTGGGTGGGGGTACCCCACTTTATAAAACGGATTTCATGCCATGAATTGACGTTACCCACCATTAAAACTTTGTTTTTGCAAAAGGTCCCCCCCCATTTCATGAATTAGACCCCATTTATCCCGATAGCAATCAGGGACGCGTATCTGGCTCTGTTCTAGGTGCTGCGGCCGTGGCGCGGTGTAATTGCTCTGATGTAGGTGTTGTGTAGGTGCCGTGGTGTTGGTGCGGTGTAGGCGCCATAGCGAGCGCTCTCGCTAGGGTCGCGCGTCTGGCTTTTTCAGCGCAGACGCTTCAGCTTGGAGCAGCTTTGCTACCAATGCCAAAGTGAAACATGTGAACGCGCATCTCATTTGTAGCCAAGCTCGTGGAATACCACAGCATGCTGCCAGCAGCCGCAGATCAGGATGCAGAAGAGGTTCTTCTGAGGCGCCGATGAGCAAGTAGAGTCGCGGAAGTCCTGACAGGAAATCCATTAGTCCTGACAGCAGGGTTTTTTCCAGAAACAGAAACAAAAACCCAAACTTTGCCAGAAGAGCACCAACGTGGTCGACCTGACAGCATCACGGCATTCTGGTCGTACTTGCACTTGTGAACAGGTGGAAGAAAAATGCGAACACACAGGCTGGTGCCAATCAGTTTTGTTTTGGAGGTACCTTGCCAGTCTCGGAGACAAACTTCACTTCAAACACGAATACTGAAGAAGGTAGACCTAGCAAAAAATTGACGTCGACAATGCGTACATCCTTACCGTGGCCTTGAGCTTGTCCAACTCTTGTCGGCAAAAGTCAGCGGCTTCACCTCAGACACAAATGCTGAAGTGGGTAGACCTGGCTAAACAATTGATTTCGACAGTGAGTAAGTACATCCCCACCATGGCCTTGAGCTTGTCCAACTCCTGTCGACAAAAGTCAGCGGCTCTGACTGGCTGCTGCCGCGCCGCCTTGCCGCACAGCTGAGCCAGAAAGACACCGGCTGCAGTCCCCAGCGACGAACTGGCGGACGCCGGAGCCATGGATTGAGAAAGTTACCCAAACCTCACGCTTCGAAGCCCTGAAAGTTGTCTCCTGCTGCTGAGTTTCGTGTTCCTGGTGACAGAGTTCACCGGCACGAATCCAATATAAAGGTGGTGTGGGTTCTCTGGTGTACGCGGAAGACAGCGAGAGGGTCGTCGATTCCAAGCAGATTTCGCAGGACGCTCCACGCGCCAGCGCGGCCACCGTGGAAAATGCGAGAGGGTCGTCGATTCCAAGCCGAATTCGCCGGACGCTCCACGCACCAGCGCAGCCAACCGCCAAACAGTGAGAGGGTTCGCCGGCGACGTTGAAAATGCGCACGCCGCCACAGCGAGAGCGTCTCGACACGCAGGATCCCCGCAGAAAGTTCGCGAAACCGCCCTAAAACTGACACAGCGCCACAGCAAGAGCGTTTTGACACGCACGATACCCGCAGAGGGTTTGCCGACGACGCTGAAAATTCACACGGCACCACAGCGAGAGCGTTTCGACACGCACAAAACCCGCAGAGGTTCGCCGACGAACCCTAAAATTCGCACGGCGCCACAGCGAGCGAGCTTCGACACGCACGAAACCCGCAGAGGGGTGCATCCCGCCTACCCCGCCAAACCCACCCCAGGCTAAGAAATAAGAGCAAATAGAATAGAAGCGTGTACGTGGTGCATGTGAGCGGAGTCGGTGCTGTGGTGTAGTGTATGGAGTCCTGTGGCGTAAGCCAGGCAGCCGATTGTTGACGAGGAACCCTTCGCGGTGCTTTTGGGAACAAAAACTATAAAATGGAGGGTTTCTGTCACTGTGACCCTTCAGGGTGGGGGGTACCCCTACAGAGCGGGGATAGCTCTTTACACAAGCAGAATAGACCAAAGATATGAAGCGCTGAAAGAACAATAAAGGAAATCATGACCATAACCAGTATGCGACAATGTATGCACACATCTATAATAGTATATATAATATACGTATGTATACATGTTGTCATGCGTTCTACCATGTCTTAGCTTTTTACTCGAGACCTCCATCGCACCAGTGCTTGCTACCACGCCCCTGTGGCAGGTTGGGGCCATTGCTCACTCAAGACCATATAGGCCGGCTTAGACATGTTTGGAGCGCATTCCTTTTTGAGGGAACCCTATAAACCCTATAACTCCCATCAACCCTGCAAACCCTATAAACCCGATAAGCCTACAAAACCTATGCCCTGCAAGCACTAACCTACAAACCATAAAGCCCCTGTAAACACTGTAAACCTTGTAGCCGGGTTTACAAGGTTTATAGGGTATATAGGGGTAGTAAGGCTTATCAGGTTTGGTGCTTGCAGGGTTTAGGGTTTGTAGAGTTGATGGGGGTCATAGGGTTTATAGGGTTGCCTCAAAAAAGAATGCGCTCCAAACATGTTTCAAGCTGGCCTACGTGATCTTGAGTGAGCAATGGCCCCAACCTGCTCACATACCTACTACCCCTTTACAAAGATGTTTGCCCAGGACGCAGCTACGGGGGCGTGGTACCACGCAAGTCTAGAGTAAAACAAGCTAACAAATTTGAGGCATTGTAGCACACATATCTGTAGAGATTGTATGCATGCTGTCTATGGTCATGATCTCATGCATTATGCTCTGAGCAATTCATATCTTTGATTTATCTTTATTCCATTCTTCTTGCAGCCCTTCATATCTTTGATTTATCTTTGTACTTCTTTGTGCAAAAGGCAGAAAAATGATAAACAAGCCTTTTTCAAATTGACGACCCCACCCCCATTTTACTGAGAAAAACATTACAAAGGCACCCTTCCCCCTGCCCCTGCCACCTT